ATGGGTAGAACACCGCCGACTGCAAGAAATGAAGAAATCGATTGGACGAGATCAACATCTCAGAGACATACATTTGGCTCTTCTACTTGTAAGAATTTTTCAGTAGGGGTATATTTTCGAGCATTCTGGATGATTCTGTGCGTTCTAGGTAACCTTTTGCATGTGGAAAGAGCAGATTTTTTGGATGTTCACTCACCTCCTACTTTATGTGATTTCGAATTGGACAAATTTTATGAATTCGGAAATGATTCAGAGTCGACTATGCCGGAGAAAATAATTATTTACTGACCTGGCTTATTTTTCTCTGTCTCCGGAATACTACCTTACTGATATCCAAATCATTCAAGCTGTCTAGCCATGGGGTCTCATGATTATATGCAAGCTGACTGCTCGTCACGCCACTCGTGTATCAGGTCTAACAATTTTAAAAATTTGCCTGATGTTGAAATATCGAAAGTTTTGGTAGGAGAAGGCCTCATGCACTGCATCCATCTATAACCTTTCATATAGTCAGCAATTTTCACTGTTCATTTAGAATTCTCTATTGCTTTATAGCTGGAAGACTACAGTGACGTCCAATTTCTGGGCAACATCACGATCGGTACACCAGAGCAGCAGTTCACAGTGGTGCTTGACACCGGCTCAGCAACTTTATGGGTACCTGATTTGAACTGTGGAAATATCGACGTGGTATGCCAACCGAATTGCACGCAGCTAAGTAGTGAGCTCCTTTTCTTGTCAAATTTTACTCCAATTGACCATCAGCTCCCCTTCACTTCTATAGTGATTTCTCTCCATAACTTTTCTCAAATAACATTGCGCAAAATTGTTGAAAGGAAATTGAAATTGAGCTCGTAATAAAATGCTGAATTAAACTGAAGTCGTTTGTGAGACGCAACGGCAGATGAAATCAACCACTAAGCCGCTCATCGCATTGGCAAAATCGGAATTCATTTATCTAAATTCAGCATTTAATTTCACAACGATACACAGTAGCAGCGATGGTGTCCTTTACATGTGAATATGAAGACAGATGGAAGCAAACATAAAAACAAAAGCAAGTATACCGACATGCGTACAAAAGCAGACTTGCATTCAACGAACACACACCCAAATATGTTCAAAACGTTTAAACGCAATCCTTCAACGTGGAATTAGATTTACCTTATGGACGACTTATTTTCAAAAAAAAAATAGAAAGTATCATCATGAGTTCGCGACGAGCAAAAGAGCCATACGGGTTATAGAAGAGTGTTTTTGCAGTAAAATCTATCTTCTATCAACAATTATAATTTTAGAACATCGGTGTCAAATGTTCTGTCCGAGAGAATGCTGCCACATAGGGTAAGATCTTTTTTTGTTCACAGCGATAATTTCATATTGGATTGACTGACTGCAATTGAATGGGGGAAAATGCAATATATTTGTTCAACAGTCACTTTACCACAAAGTCTATCTCCGACTTACGTTGTCACTTTTGCCATTTTGTTGATTTACGAGCGTTTTGCAATCCCGAAATCATCCCAAAATTAAGAAGCGATTCGGAGGATTTACCTTAATCCTGGAATCAAAAGAATGGTCGGGTCATTGCAGACATTAGGTGTTCATAGTGCAGTTCTCGTGATGTTCAACCAGTCGGTTCATTTTCAGGAGGTCTGAGCAAGTTTGCAGAGGGAAGAATCGCTTCAATTCAAACGCATCANTCAGGATTCTTCGGTAGCGACGTTGTTCGCGTAAGTGCTTTCGCCACCATTCTGATACATTATGGAACGGTTAGGTCAGAGCCTTTTTGTTCGCATGGTTGACCAACAACAAGTGAGGTGATCAAGAGCAAATATACAACACGTCTTCTTTATTGAAACCATTCAACAGATCTGAAACGCTGAAACTCAACTATTGTGAAGGGTGCAGATTCATAGAATCAGCTCAGTGCAATGATTATACTTTGTTTGATCAAGTTATCATGAATAAACTGTTGCCAATGTTTCTAGTCAGGAACTTTCCAGTGCCGATTCATGCACAAAAGTTTGCAAATCCTGAAAACATTGCTTTCTCATGTGAGTGAGTGTGGATGAATTTGATCACTGCCATATACGCACTCACGGAAAATATAACCGCATCCAGTCAGGAAAAGTGACGAACATAACGGAAAATGGAAAAGTTTTCAGGATTCTTATTGAAGTTGAAAAGACGGATGAAATCTCTTGACTCTTTCAGTTAGGTGGAATAGGATCGCATCAACTAGTAGTAGCGAATACGGTATTCGGTCAGGCGTTAACAATCGTTAACGCGCTCGAAGACAGTCCATTCGATGGAGTTCTTGGTCTCGCATTTAGGTCGATCGCTATCAACAACATTTTACCACCTTTGAACAGAGCCTGGAGGCAAGGTCTACTCGATGAACCAGTTTTTACCGTGTGGCTTGGGCATAAGGTCGGTATAGACTCCTCAGTTATCAATTTTCCAAAAGCTTGAATGCGTAGACAAATGCGATGAGCTGGCAGGGAACCGTAAGGAGTATAGGAATTTCGATACATTTCGATAGGTTGCTGGGGAATTGAAGATGACCTTCATTATGTGTGCAAGATCAATAAGATTCTGCTGAAGCCTGGGAACTCTACCAAATCAAATACTCCGCTGACCGTGAGAGAGCTGCTATCTGCTAGGCGAATCAGAAAGCGAATTTAATGCGATAGTTGAATTTGAATGGATAGTATGGAGATTTTTAAGGGCATGGTGGATAATGTATTTGATGGAATGATTACTTACGGCGGACTGGACCACGACCACTGCAACAGTGATGAGATATATGAATCACTTTCATCAGCCTCTTACTGGCACTTCACGATGAAATCGATCTCATTGGGTACCTACCGTAGTAAGGCGGTGAGATATGATGTCATTTCCGATACCGGCACATCATTAATCACAGGACCAGCTCGGCTGATCAATTCAATAGCCGTAGAACTTGGTGCGCAGGTGAGGTCGAAATCATTTGTATGGTATTTATTTCCCAGGTACATGTAGAGTTCTGTTA